CAACACATTCCGCTTTGGGGATATACTCAGCTTTGAGGTAAGATGGACACTGTTCGTCTTGTTTCACTGGGTTTCTAGAGAAGTGGGGGAGAGTGTAAACAAGTAGTGTTTTGCTAGAGGACACTCAGGGAGCTGTGGGGCCCCAGGGAGGGACATGGGGCCCAGCCGGGTGGGTGGGGTGGGTGGGGATTAGAGCCCACCTTCCCTGCTCGGAGCCTGGCTCCTTTAACACCCACCCCCTTTCCCTCCCCCTGCCTGCCTCCAGGTGGAAGCCCTTCTCCCATTTCTGGGCACCTGCTCTTCTGTCTGGTGCCTGTGGCCCCTGGTTGTAGTGCTCAGCTAAGAACAGCAGAGAGCAGCTTGAGATCGTGGCTGGGCCAAGGCTGAGCTAGCCTGCTGAGATCACTGGAATCTGGAAGGATAAGTGGCTCCTGGCAGAGAGACCCTGGAAGCAGAGCATCGGCCAACACGACAGGCAGGCCCTCCTTCCCTCACCTCTGCCCGGTTGCCAGCACGAAGCCCTGTTTCCTGGCCTTCTGACCTCAGAGAAGTTGGCTGGGTCTGTGGCAAAATGGCCAGAGTCGGCTGAAAGGGACGGTTTTTCTATAACTGGCCTTTGCTGTTAGACCTGCTGGGCAAGGCAGGAGGAATGCCATCTCTCTTGCTTCCTGCAAGCCTCCTCCAGCGTTAAGAGCATGGGGGAAATGGCTTTGCAATTAGTTTCAGGTGAGTGGAAGGGACAGTCCCTCCCCATACAGACAACCCAAGGTCCCAAGCAGATCCTTCTTTTCTAGCAAATAATTGGACATTACTCTAGCTCATGGTTGGGGTGAGAGAGAGCTTGGTTGATGGGACACAGTGACCTGGGTTCTCACCTTCCCACCCCCATCAAAGCTTCCCTCTTCTCATCTTCTTTCTGTTGGGCAAAAGTGGTGCGCTGCAAAGATTTGTTCCAAAGAGGTGCTAAGAGATGGTATAAATTTAATTTCCCACTCCCCACCCCCACTTCCCCAAATCACTTAGCTGGTACCTCACTGTAAGCAAGCTCGTCCCCAGTTATACCCCAAGAAAGGGTCAACTCAAGGGAATGTGTTTGCTCACATAATAGGGCTTTACCTAAGTAGGGTTTCTCAATGTGTGGTCCAAGACCACCTGCATCAAAACTCCTTATAAAGATATGGATTACCACCGTGTGGCAGTGTCTGCTGGAATTAGACACATACCTACTCGGTGGCCCATCGATCCCACACCCAAGTATGTGCAAGAGAATGCAAGATAGGGACAGAAACATTTGAGCAGGGCTAGTCAAAAGAGCCTCAAGCTGAGTTCAGTCTGGATGCCCATCAACAGAAGAATGGGGGAACACATTATCGTTGGTCCACATTCAGCAATAAAAGTGAACCAATTACCCTTCCAGGTAACAACTTGGAATTCATCTTGTCAACATGCTGTGAAGCAGGAGAAACTAGACACAAAATAGTGAATACAACATGGTTCCCTTTATGTGAAATTTGGGAACAGACTAAGCTAATCCATGTTGAGAGAATAATGGCTACCTGGGGTGAGGGGAGGGGTTACTGATTGGGAAAGGGCATCTGGAATGCTGGAAGCATTCTTCATCTGGATCTGAATGGTGACTGGCATAGACATACGTGAAAAACCATGTACATGCTGGTAAATATGCTGCAATATTACGTGTACCATGATCCATTCTTACAGCAGGATTACATTAGCTTTACAATATCTTCTAATATGTAACAAAAGGATCTATTTTTTAATTTCTTTTTCAACATATTTTGTCATTACTTTCTATCTTTCTATGTGTTCTTCAAGATCAGTTTCAAAGTTACTTTGTCATGTGAAAAATTACCTCACTGACCATGTCTTTATTATTATTACAGAGTTAGGTGTGTGCTTGCCAAACATATCCTATTTAGTGATACTTACCTAGATGGTAAATCTACAAAGAACAGCATAGGAATGATCAAATGATTTCTGTAGGTCTGGAGTCTGGGCACAGCTTAGCTGTGTTCTCTGTTGGGCTATAACCAAGGTGTTAGTTGGGGCTGTGGTCTCATCTGAGGCTCTACTGGAGGAAGATCTGCTCCCTAGCTCATGTGATTATTGACAACACTCAGTTTCCTGTAAGCTGCTGGGCTGAGGGCCTTAGTGTCTTGCTGGCTGTGGACTGAAGGCTGCCCCCAGTTCTTAGCCGTATGGCCAACTCAGCATGTTGGTACATCCATATGTTACCATCTTTCGTAACATAATCACACACATGCAATCACATACACTCCCTCACTTTTGTTATATTCTCTATGTCTAGAAGAAGGTCACGGGTTCTATCCACACTCAAGGGGAGGGATCACACAAGAACATGAAAGCCAGATCATGGACCCACCTTAAGAGTCTGTCCACCCTAGATGGTTACATGGATATTCATTTAATTATCTGTTAAACTGTGTGTGTGTGTGTGTATGTGTGTGTGTAATATTTCTAAACCTATGATACATTTCACAATTTAAGATTTTTAAAACTAAAGCAATTTTTAAAATAAATTTATTTTATTAAATTTTTTTATTATTATTATTATTAAATATAATTAAATAAAAGAATAAATTAGTTTGGATCTGAGTGTGTCCAGGAACAGCCAAACAAAAAGAGTCTCGTGGCCATAGGTGAACAAATCTGAAATGAAGTCTAGAAGTGACTCAAGTGCTCAGAAGAGCTGACTCTTTTCTTCAGAGATACTGGAAGTTGCTATGAACTCAGAAGGCACTCTGCATTGCACTTGGAAATTTTTGAATTGTTTCAATTTCTTTTTTTACTTGAAAAAAGAAAATCGTTTTAACCTAAAACTAATTTGAAAAGAATCAACATTTTTACAATATCTACCATGTGCACAGACCATCTCTCCAAAGGTCGAATCTTCTCTAATATCCCTCAGTAAAGATTGGTGGTGGTTATGCTCATTAACCTGCCTCACCTCTATTGCTAAATTTATTCCCATGTAGTTCATGGTTTTTAATTGCTGTCCTGAATGAAGTCTTTGTTTTTAAGTATGATTTCTCCTTCCTGTTGCTATTCACCAGGAACATGACTGAATTTTGGATATGCACCAAAATTTTTGCTAAATGACTTTGTTTTTTTAAACAAAAGTCTTTGTTAAATAACTAATGACTTTGCTCCCATACTAATTTTAATTTCTATTTTCTTAGGTTCTCTAAGCACATGATGGGGACATCTGGGAACTCTGACATGTTTTGCCTCCTCTTTTTTGGTGGCTATAATCCTGATTTCAGTCTACTGGAAGCAAAATTTTTAAAAAACGTTAACCTTCGGAGTCAGATAAATCAAGACTGTCAGCAACATTCTTGGGCAAGCCACTCAACCTCTCCGTGCCTCGGTTTCCTCTTCGATAGCCTGGGCCCATCATAGACTCTTCCTTATTGGGTAATTGTGAGGATAAGATATTACTGACTTTTAGCACAGTGTCTGTCTCAAAGCTCAGCACGTGTTAGACAAAGCATAATTGTGACTATATTTTAAGAGGAACTTAAATAAAAATGACAGAGAAGAGACACCCAGGTTGTTAATACCACACTGAGTGGTGGGAGCAAGCATAAACTGATGTATGACATATGTTCTGTTTCCTTCCTCCCAGGGACTGTGCTAAGTGCTTTCCAAGCATCCTCTTAATTGACCAACAGCCTCAGGATGGCCATTCCAACATCACATAACTCACTTGGAAGGAAGCAGGACTCAAGCCCAGCCCACCTCCCTGCAAAGCCTGTGCTCATCTCTGTTGGTCCATCCTGGGGGGAGCATCAGACATTCATTCTTCCCAGGGCTCTTAACCTTGGCCAAACATTAAGAACATCTGAGGATTGCTAGCAATGCATCCACGCCTGAGCCTCACCACAAACTCAATGGATCTGGCTCTTCGAAGGTGATTCTGACATTATTAATTCTTTCAAGGCTCCCTGGGTGATTGTAACGGCCAGGGTTGAGAACCACTGATGGCCCCAGTGTGGCCTCTATAACATTAACATTTCAGACAGTGATCACGGAAGTCTGGAAGTCTGGCCCCACCTTCCAGATGAGTTCAAGTGCATCCTCCCTTTCTTTGCCATAAATTAATTCATCCTTACCACTTGTGATGATTAATTTTATGCACCAACTTAGCTGGGCCACAGTGCCCAGTTATGTGGTCACACCTTGTCCTGGATGTTTCCGTGAAGGTGTTTTCTGGGTGAGATGAACATTTAAATCAGTAGACCTTGAGTAAAGCAGATTGCCTCCACAATGCAGGTGGGCCTCATCTAATCAGTTGAAGGCTTTCAGAGGAAAAAGACTGACCTCCTCTGAGCAAGAAGGAACTCAGCAGCAGATGGCCTTTGGACTCGGCCTGCAACTCTTCTCTGGGTCTGCAGCCTGCTGGTCTGCCCTGCAGATTTTGGACTTGTGCCTCCACAAATCATATGAGTCAATGCCTTAATATATATATGTATATATATAAAGAAATATATATATATATATATATACATCCTATTGGTTTCATTTTTCGGAGAATGCTGACTAATCACTACCATAATGGAAACTGACCTCTTGTTCAACACAATCACAATCATTTTTCTTTGGAAAACCACAGCTTGGGAATGGGTGATACAGAGGCATGGATTTTCAGTCTAGGGGAGAATAATACAGATCACTCAGTCCAACTGGAACAGAGGCACGAAGGTTGAAACACCCCTGGGTTGATTTTGCCCCTCAGGAGACATTCAGCAATGCCCAGAGACTTTTTTGTTGTTGTCACGAGGGGGTGGGGGATGGGGGATGGGGATGAGGGTACAAGGGTGCTCCTGGCTTCAAGCGGGCAAGGGGCGGGGGACGCTACGAAACATCCTGAAACGCACAGAATTATCATTAAAAGGCAAGAGTGCCCAGGTTGCGAAACGCTGGTTAGGATGGGGAAATAGTTATTTGTTAAGGAAATTAACTTCTCACTCCGTGCAAGGAGGGGGATTGCAGTCAAATCAGGAAGGAGCTCAAAAGAGGCCACAGGAATCTGACGGGCAGACTGGACAAACAGGCGGGGCAAATATCACCGGAAAGGCCAAGTGGCTTCAGGGAAGCTCTTGAGAGACCAGCCCTACCATGGAGGGAGGACTGGGAGTCCAGCCAGTGGGAAGCCCACAGGCATGATGTGGCTCGAATTATGCTCCTAAGCGGCCATGAGCTCAGAAGCTCTCCCAGAGGCGCCAAGGGCTGAGCGCGGCGAGACCAGAGGCGGTGAGTAGCTGTCTTGTGTTTTGTGGCTGTGGTTTGTGATGTTGTTTTAAGAATCGGGGGGCCCAGTGGGCAGAGCTAGGCGGCCAGAGTTCTGGCCCTCTCTCTCTCTCTCTCTCTCTGCACATGGCTTCACATCCTCACTTCTCAGCAACTGGGCTGCATCCGGTGGGGTGGGGGGCGGTAAGGCTGTGTGATGCTCTGAACACAAGACTGCACGGAGACAGCCAGCCCTCAGCGAGGGTATAGAGAGCGTCTTGAAGAAGGGCCAAAAGTGAATTAGTGATAAGCAAGTGACACTTCATCTTCAGTTCCTTCATCTGTAAAATGGGGGCAGGGAAACACCTAAGGAGGTCGCGTGGAGCCGGTGGGATGATAGAGTGATGGGACTGAGAAAGTTAACACCCCAGGGATGTTTCCAGGATGGTGTTAAGAACACAGAAAACCAGAAATGCAGGGCCGCATTAAGATGAAGGCAACCAGCAGCCACTTGACCGAAGGCACGGAAGCTGCTGGGACACACAGGCTGGAGGGGGAAAGCTATATGTCAAGATGTTAGCAGGGCCACGGTCCATTCTGGGGGCTCTCAAGGGGAGAGTGCATTCCCTTGCTGCTTAGAGCTTCCTGAGGCTGCCCCTGTTCCTCTGCTCATGGCCGCTCCTCCATCTTCGGGGGGGACAGACTCCTCCCCACCTCACGTCTCTCTGACTCTCTTCTGCTTCCCTCTTCCACTTTAAAGGACCTTTGTGATTATATTGGGCTCACCCGGATAATCCTAGATAATCTTCCCATATTAGGGCCAGTTTATTAGCAACTCTAATTCTGTCTGAGACCTTAATTCCCCCCCGGGCCACGTAGCCTGACACAGCCACAGATTCCGGGGATGCCCGAGCAGAATCATGGGTGAGGAGAGAATTGTCCTGTGCGAAGCATACGTGGGGCAAATCGCAGGTGGTCTCTTCTCTCATAGGGGTTGTGCATCCTAGAGAGGAGACAGATACGGAGAAGTAGTAATACATACCGAGTACTAATAAATGATAGAGAACCCATAGTGTGGTCCAGGGATGGAGAGTTATGGCGCACAGTGTGACAGTTTCAGCCACATGGTCACGGGAAGCCTCTGAAAAGGTAACATCTGAGCAGAGCACTGACCGTGGAGGAGGAAAGTCCATTCTGAGGCTGAGTTCCAGGCAGAGGGAAAAGCAAGTACCGTGGCCCTGAGGCATGTTTAGGGGATTGGGAGAAGCCAGGTGTGGTGTTGCTGGTGCGTGAGGTGACAAGGGGAAGAGAGGAGGGAGACGAGGCTGATGACAAAGGCAGGGGTCAGATCATTGGATCATTGTTGGCCAAAGGGTTTGGGTTGAATTCTAAGGAAAATGGGAAACCACTGGAGGGTTTTAGGAAGGGTAACAGCATGCTCTGTCTGACATTTAAAATGCTCAGTCTTGGGGCGCCTGGCTGGCGCTGTCAGGAGAGCGTGTGAACCTCGATCTCAGGGTCGTGAGTTCAAGCCCCACACTGGGGGTAGAGCCTACTTGAAAACAAACAGGTGGTCTCAAAACCCTATATGAGAGCATCTTACTAAAACATAAAGATATCGGTAGAGAGAACATAAAGAGCTCAATAAACATATTTTAAAAATAATAATAAATAGGGGCGCTTGGGTGGCTCAGTTGGTTAAGCATCTGACTTTTGATTTCTGTTCAGGTCATGATCTCAGGGTCCTGGGATCAAGCCCCATGACTGGCTCCGTGCTCAGCGGGGAGTCTGCTTGAGCTTCTCTCTCCCTCTCCCTCTGCCCCTCCCCCTCCCCCGTGTATGCAAACTCTCTCTCTCAAATAAATAAGTAAATCTTAAAAATAATAATAATAAATACAATGCTTAGTCTTACTGCTGAGTGCCAGTGGATCGCAGGGGAGACGGGGGAGGCAGCGAGAGCAGGGCGGAGACGCTGCAGGGATGCAGGAGAAGGTGGGGAGGGCTGGCCTAGCATGGAGTGAGCAGAACGGGCAGTGGTGGGGTCGGTCGTACGACTAGAGCCCACAGGACAGGGTATGTCGGGCGAGGGGAACAGTGAGGGACCGAGGAGGGTTAGATTTTTGGCTTGAGCCCCTGTGTGTGTTGACTGAGACTGAGGGAAGATGAGCCTGCACGTGAAACCATGTGGCTTCTCTTTGGCCACAGGGAGGGGGCTGGTGAGCTCGGAGAAGAGATCCTTTGGGTCAGGGGTACACGAGCACTCTCTTCCAACGGATGAGTGCCTGTCATGGGGAGCAGAGGTAGCCTTGGTCCCCTGCGCCCTTAGATGCCAAACACGAAGCCCAGGGAAGGCCAGGTAGACAGGCAGATTTCAGCTCGCCTGGATATCTCAGGATGGAAGTGGCATGAGACACGAGGTCTGAGGAAGGAGCATGCGGCTTCAACTCTGCTGTCACTGGCATGTGACTGGGGACAAGAGATTTCAAGTCTTTGCAGCTCCATTCAATATTCCTTAGACAGCAGAAGTCGTCTAAGGTCGACTACCATAATGCTAACCATCAGAGCAGGCGTTCATAGCGTGCCTTTCCCGTGCCCCAGGCACTGTGCTCACCGCTTTCCAGGTAATAACACACTTGCCGCTCATGGCAGCCTGATGACAGGTGTGTGTCATCGTCCTTGTTACCCTAGATAGAGAGGAGACTCAGAGAGGGTGAGGGACAAAGCGCACACGGCAAGTAGGGGGACGGTCGTCATACATTGTACGGTGTCTACAGGACACAGAGTGGAATATGCCTCTCCTTCATCTCGACCTTCCAGAAATATCAACCGAAATGCGGTGTGTATGATCATGAATGTTTTGTGGCAGCACAACACTGAGCAGTTTCAGCGTCAAAATTAAACGGTCTCAACAGTCTGAAATTGCGGACAGACACCAGCAAGTTGGTGCAGAACGTGGACCGAGGGCAAGGCGTTCTGCATTTCGATTTCAGATCCAGGCCCACCGACCCTCACTACATGGCTCAGACCACAGCTGGAATGTTCCGTTCCATTCGGGGGCCCCTCAGTTGAGAAGCATCCTGATAAGCTGGAATCTCCGTGATCTGACAAGTGAGATCACATCAAAACAGGATGTCTGTTGCATGCAAGGACACCAGGGACAAATTCATGGAGACAGATGGGAGCAAAGTATTTGTCATAGCTGAAACTGACGTGTGACTATAGTCGACCCTTGAACCACGTGGCGGTTGGGGTCCTGACTCCTGCACAGTTGAATATCCATGTACAACTTTTGACTCCCCCCAAAGTTAACTACTAATAGCCCACTGTTGACCAGAAGCCTTACGGATAACCTGAATAGTTGATTGACCCATGTTTTGTATGTTGTATGTATTATATACTGTGCTCTTACAGTAGAGTAAGCTGGAGAAATGTTGCTAAGAAATTCATAAGGAAGAGAAACTATGTTTGCAGTATTGTAGACGTGGACTCACCCAGATCAAACCTGCATCCTCAGGGGGTCAGCTGTATCCCTACAATGCACAAGGGACTTCTGGAAATTCCTAAGAAAGACAGCGATGACAACGGAGGAATAGCGAAGGATGGCAAATCACAGATGCAGGAACAGGAAACTTGACCGATCTCTTGAAGAGAGTTTCCACAGCAGCTAATTCCCAGAGGCTTGAAGATGAAACCAGTGCACCTGTTTCGACTGGTCGCACTGGGAGACTGGGTGACTCACTGCTGAGTGCACAGGAAGCTCTGTGATTTGGGACAATGATGTCTCAGCAGGCAATGCTCAGTGTCAGTGGGGATGTGGGCATGGACACGGACCTCACTGGA